CCGTCATTGTTGTTTGGCGGGTCCGGGCTGGGGATTCGAACCCGCCACCTTAGGTGTACGTGGCTGGCGCCTTAGCCGGTTGAGCTATAGGTGCCGAGCCGATGCTTATATTTCTATGGGATACATTCCTAGGACAAGATTGCTAAGTTGGGAGGTATATTTCTTATGTTAACAAATGTTTCTGTTGCATTTCGAAGACAGATTTAAATTTTACATTTCTAATATTTCTGTAGGGCAGAGACTTTCTCCTCCATATTCCTATCAGCGATCAGTGTCATCACTTGGGTAAACTCTTGCCAACCTCTAGGAGCAAGGTGGTGACCCATTTTTCTCTCCTGTTTAATTGATATTTTTTAAAAATAGGGCGGCACCTATGGCTCAAAGGAGTAGGGCGCCAGCTCCATATGCCAGAGGTGGTGGGTTCAAACCCAGCACCGGCCAAAAACTGAAAAAAAAAAAAAAATAGACATTTTCCATGTCATGTGATGATGAGTTTGGCAGTGTGCCACCGCAATAGACCTCTCCATAACTCACCTCTTGAAGGGAGTGGTGTTTTCCCTTTAAAACACAACGAGAATGGGCCCTGTTTTAAAACATGAATTTTAAAATTCCCATTTAGAGAAATCTAGAAATGTAGCCTATAATCCTTGCACTCTGGGAGGCTGAAGCAGGTGGATTGCTTGAGCTCAGGAGTTCAAGGCCAGCCTGAACAAAAGTGAGACTGTGTCTCTACTGAAAGTAAAAAAAATTAGCCAGGCGCTGTGGCGGGCACCTGTAGTCCCAGGTACTTGGGAGGCTGAGGCAAGAGGATCACTTGAGCCCAAGACTTTGAGGTTACCGTGCGCTATGACAGCATAGCACTCTATAGAGGGTGACAAAGTGAGACTCTGTCTCCAAAAAAAAAAAAAAAGAAAGAAAGAAAGAAAAGAAATCTAGAAATGTAGATGTATCTCTTTCCTGTGAGTTGGAAATACATCTCTTCCAGCTCAAAGGAAAGAGCTCTCTCAATGCTTCTGGAGAGCAGCGCATCCTATATCGTTCATATTCACCCTTTCTTACCCACATTTCTCCCTAGAGCCTCTATTGCCAGCACCTTTTTTGTCTTCTTCCTCTCTGCCCATTCTCCTCTTTATTTTAAACCTCAAGTATTCATTTCTAAAACTTACTTTAAAACAATCTTGAAACATAGAAGGTATTCTGTTGCAACAACATGCCTCGTGTAAGAGAGTGTTGGTAGCACACAAGTGGATGGCTTAGTGGATGTGGTCTGAGGAGAGGAAGCCTACGGCCTCATCAATTAAGATGTCACTTGTGCAACCCAGGGTAGGAGGGACTCAGTTCTAAAAACTGGATTTCTCTCTCAGGTCAGGCCTCTTCCTGTCCACTTATACACTAGGACCTTGGAGTAACCTACTACAGAGAGAAGCCCTGTGGGCCTTGGCAGAGCCTCAAAGAATTGTGAGAAATGACGGCTTCCCTCCCAGAGTTTGGGAGTCCAGGGAGCACCCCAACTTCCCTGGGGTTTCTTGAGAGGGACACCACTCACTGAAAAAGGCTTTGGAGGCTTGCGTGCCCAGCAGCAACATGTGCCTAAGAGCCTGCTGGCCTGGTTCATGGGCTCTGGAAGTGGGAGCTTAGAGTCTACCAAGAGCTGGGGTCCTGCACTCCTGGGTCTGCCTATCATCTGGTTGGGTCTTCTGCTGGTCTCTGTCCTAGCAGTAGAGCTGCCCCAGGGACCCATTGTGAGGGAGATAAGACAATTGAAGATGTCACATGTCATGATCCACATAGTGATGTACTTTCCATGGAATTGTTTAGAATGCATGTAATATATATAAAATATTGCTCCTAAGTCTGGAAATCTTTAATGTTTCCCTTCACTCTAATGCAGCATCTAGACCGACTTATGAACCTTCCACTGGATTCTGTGAAGATGGAAGCTTGTTATAGTAAAGTGGACCTGCTTGAAGAGCGCCTGCAGGATCTCAAGAGCCGCTTCAGATTCCCCCACGTTGATCTGGTGGTCCAGAGGACGCAGAACTACATGCAGGAGGTGGGAGTGGCGGGCCATCCTTGGAGGATAAAGATGGGAGATAAGTGTGGCAGATGAGACCAGGATGCTAGAGTAGCCCAGGGAAATAGGTTGCACATCTCTGGCCATCATGGTGAGAGAAAACATGTTCTGTGCCTCCAGCTGGCTTCATCTTCATTCCTTGTTGATGAACATCACAGGGAAATAAAGTAGCATCAATTGATAATTATGTGGTTTGTGGAATCAGTGCTTTTAACCTTGGCTATCCATTAGAATCATCTGGGGAGCTTTTAAGAAATATGTACTGATGTCCAGGCCCCATCTCCAATGATTCTGGTTATGCATATTTTATATATTTTGGTACTATTCCTGCTGCTTCCAATTTGCAGCCAGAGTTAAGAACCACTGGCTTAAATTAATTCTCTAACATAATTAAGAGTAAAGCGATCAATCAATCATAGCTTCCCATTTGAATTTCTTGAGTCCATTTTTCACATTTGATAATTGATAATCAATTATCAATAATTGATAATTAATTAATTAATTAATAATTTCACTAATAATTTGATAATTAGGCTCGGCACCTGTAGCTCAGCAGCTAGGGCATCAGCCATGTACACCGGAGCTAATGGGTTCGAATCCAGCCTGGGCCTGCCAAACAGCAGTGACAACTACAACCAAAAAATAGCTGAGTGTTGTGGTGGGTGCATGTAGTTCCAGCTACTTGGAAGCCTGAGGCAAGAGAATAATCACTTAAGCCCAAGAGTTTGAGGTTGCTGTGAGCTGTGATGCTACAGTACTCTACCTAGGGTAAAAGCTTGAGATTGCCTCAAAAAAGGAACAAAAAGAAAATTGGCTGAAATTAATTCCCTAACATAATTAAGAGTAAACCAATCAATCACAGCTTCACATTTGAATTTATTGAGTCTATTGATAAGTTTCTGTCCCCACCCCAAGGAACCTTTTCACCAGGAACAGGAATGAGTAGTGCAGATACTTCCCACATTGCACGTAGCGTTTCCTCTGAAGAAAGAGTGTAACCATGTAATCAGTGACACTGTAAGACATGGTTCCATTTCACACTGTGCTGGATCCCATTTGGGGGAGTTTGAGTGAGGCACAGCTGGGCCCTACCAAACAAAAATGACAACTACAACCAAAAAATAGCCGGGCATTGTGGCAGGCGCCTGTAGTCCCAGCTACTTGGAAGGCTGAGGCAAGAGACTTGCTTAAGCCCAAGAGTTGAAGGTTGCTGTGAGCTGTGATGCCATGGCACTCTACTGAGGGTGACATAGTGAGACTTTGCCTCAAAATAAAAATAAATTTAAAAACTCAAATTCGCTGCAGTGTTGAAGTGCTGGGATAGGGGTATGTATTAGATACTTTAGGATCACAGGCTTGGGGAAGAAGGGAGCATTTTTTTTTCTTCAAAGTTATGGGTAGGTTTAAGCAATGCATTTTGTCTAACCCTTCATTTGTGAAGGATTAAAGAGGAACAAGGAACAAAATTGGGCAATAGTTTAACAGAAGTCCCTTTGGCAATACAGGACCCTAGTGAGACAGATACAGGACAAAGTGCAGAGAATAAGATGTCAGAACTACTTCCGTTTTCTGACCCATAAGCGTGTCAGCCATTGTCTCCACGTCACCCTGCCTCCCTCCTCAGACTTGCAGAGAAAGGAAGAGAGTGCGGGGCAGGATGGAAGGTGGAAAGAGAGATGTGCTGCAGAGTGGCTCACATCTATCTGCAAGGGAGGTGCAGCCAAACTCCAGCTGGAAAATGCCCCCTCCTCATCTCGTTAACTCATAAACTAGATAGCATTCTTGGCGTGCAGCAAGGAGTGGAGGAAGAAAAATAACCACTGGAGATGATGCATTTCTCAGTTCCATGGTCTTGAGTTTTCCGGTTCAGAGATGACAGCGAGGAAATGAGAAAAAGAGAACATGTGTGTTCACTTACGGACACACATATGTGTGTGTGCTTCCCAGCCTCTTAGTGATCCCACTGGGGGCAGTTTTTCCCACAGTTCAGGTAGTGGGATGACGTTGCCCTAGGTCACTCAGAGGAGTGCCTGAGGGGACTCTTCTCAGACAGCTGATACCCTCTCTCCCCTCCAGCGCGGCCGGCCGGACCTGAGGGCAGCGATCCCAGCCCCTGACTCGCTCCCTTTGTTTTCTAGCTGATGGAGAATGCAGCATTCACTTTTGAGCAGTTGCTTTCCCCACATCTCCAAGGAGAGGCTTCCAAAACTGCAGTGGCTATTGAGAAGGTTAAGCTTCGAGTCTTAAAGGTAAAACTGTTCCCTCATTTCTAGAAGCATGAAACAAGAATGTGACCCCTGCTTCTCTTGTTAGGGGGAAAATACCGTGTTCTCTTCTTCACTCTAAGCTTCTGACTTCTCTGAAGTACCAGTGACTATCTCTAAATCAGCAGCAAGTTCCTCAAATATGACTTTCATGCCTGTTCTGCCATCTAGTGGCTATGTGGGGTCCTCAGCATCCTTGCCCACAGCTAGAAGTGACACGTCCCAGCTAACTTTCAACTTGGCATTTATTGGCTCTCTACTGTAATCATTGTGGGTATTGCATGGGATAGAACAGTAGGCAAGGCACAACTTTTTTCTTCAGAGAATTTACATTCTTAAGAAAAATCAAAACCTCATGGCAAAGGAAATACTCTGCAGAAAATACACCTGCCATATGAGAGTTTTTTAAAGATGTATTTCCACATATAATAGGAGCTGGTACATATGTGCTATATTTTAAAGGTTTTTTAAACCTACATTGTTTCATTTGATTCTCACAAGGACTTATGCCATAATTAGGATATGTCCTCATGGTACAGAGCAGGCTAGTTAATGGTGAGCTTAAAGCTAAGATTTTTTTTTTTTTTGCAGTTTTGGCTAGGGCCGGGCTAGAACCCACCACCCCTGGTATATGGGGCCAACGCCCTACTTCTTGAGCCACAGGCACCACCCAAAACTAAAATATTCTTACACCTTGTACTAATTTATTACTACCTTCTATTTTCCTTAAGTGGTTCTTTAGAACAGAAGATCAAAGTCCCACAGAACCTAGGGGTGGTTCCTGAATTTTGGACCTAATAGGAAACTCTAGCAACCAAATTGTTGACATTAAAAGCAGTAATGATCATGGTAATTGCAACTGTGTTGAAAGAAAAGACAGTATCAGGGTCAATGCTTTAGCAACAGAAGGAGAAGAAAAGAAAAGAAGGAAGGAAAGGAGAGAGAAAGAGGAAGGAAGGAAGGAAGGTCATTCAAACATTAGGACCTCGAGTCTGAAAGGGACTTAGCATGCTTCTAGTTCAATTTCATATCCAGTGTTAAGAATGTGCCTGCCAGGGGTGGCCCCACTGGTGGCTGGACACCTCCAGTGTTGGGATCTTTCCTCCTCCCAGGACAGCCCATTTGACATCTGGACACTTTGACTGTAAGAACATGTTCCCTTATGTTAGACCAAAGTTCTCACCACCAGTAATTTCAGTCCTGCCCTTTTTGTGCATAGCCTCCTTCCACGTGTCAGTGTTCAGTTGTTTGAATAGGGCTGTGACTTTGCTCCAAGTTATTATCTCCCACATAAATGCCTTCATGTCTTTAACCATTCTTCATTTGGCCTGACATCCTGCTCACCTGCCTGTGACTAACTCCAGTTTGTCTGAGATCCCTTTGATGTGACATCTAAAATTAAACCCTGGTCACCAAAGTTAGATGATTAATGCAGAACAGAAAGAATCCTCATCTTTCTTGTTCTAGATCAGCAGTTCTCAACCTGTGGGTCGTGACCCCTTTGTAACAATGAAAATATATCACCGCATTAGGAAGGTTGAGAACCACTGTCCTGGATGCTGAAGTTCTTTGGTTAATATGTCACAGTGTTAATGGAGCTATGAGCAAGGCCTTTCTTCCCTTGTGGAAATCTTTACAGCCCACCAACCCTGCTTGCAGGATGTGGAGGATGGTGGTTCCCATGGACCCATTTGGGACTAGGGTGATGAAGTACACACTCACTCCCACCCAGGTCTATCTCCAACTTCTTTGTAATACAGAAGCAGTCACTACTCTGTTTTGATCTTGCCTCAGTTTCCACATCTGTAAAAGGAGAGAATAAAAGGAGGGTTATCAGTCATACCCACGCCTAGAATATAAGTATAATTATCAGTCATACCCGTGCCTGGAGTATGAGTGTAATTACATGGAAAGATCTCTAAGATTGAAATTAGGGGAGGAGAGATGAAGTAGGTGGCCGAGATTTTTAAGTGAAAGTTAAACAGATTGTAATGTTGCTATTTAACATATGTTTCTGTATTGACAGCAATATGATTATGACAGCAGCACCATCCGGAAGAAGATATTTCAAGAGGCACTGGTTGAAATTACACTTCCCACCTTGCAGAAGGCACTGGCATCCACGTGCAAACCAGTAAGGAGATGGGTTACTCCACAGCACCTGCTCTTATTTCCTCTAAAGGTCTTTTGCTCTGGCGCATGTGCAGGCAGACCAGACCAAGAAGGAGTTGGCATTAACTTTTTGTAAATGGTTAGATAGTAATTATTAATATTTTAAGCTTCACAGCCCATACTATTTCTGTTGTACTTATTCATCTCTGCGGTTGTGGAGCAAAAACAGCCATCAACAGCATTTTGCCATCCCCCTGAATTGGACAAAATCCCCAAGGATGAAGACCTGAATTTGAGCCAAGCTAAGGGTTGACATAGAACACCTGAGGATTTCCAATTTCCTCATTATAGCATGACTCATGGAGCCAACGTGTCTTCTGAAACTTGACCACTATATACAGAAAAGATCGTAAGATGATTACAGAAGGATATTTGTTCTGTTAAATCCAGTAACGTTTGTTTAATGAACTCATTGAAACCATTTAAAGCTTCTACAGACATCAGGCATCCAGGGATGGCCATGGTGATGGAGGTTTGACACAGTCTGTAGAGTAATGAGCAAGCAGAGTCTGAAAATAAGAATGAGGAGGTCCAGTAACTGACTCAAAGTAGTAGAGCCGGTAACCACCAGAGTTTGAACCCAGTTCACACTCACCTGTAACATGGTAAACACTCAGAAAACCTCATCAGCTACTACTACTATTGTTATTATTACTGCTTCTTTGTTTCATAAGTGATCTATGAGGCGGCGACCATAGCCCAGTGGGTAGGGCGCCAGCCACATACAACGAGGCTAGTGGGTTTGAACCCAGCCCAGGCCAGCTAAAACAACAATGATAACTGCAACAACAACAAAAAAAATAGTCAAGCATTGTAACGGGCACCCAGTTAATTGTAGTCCCAGCTACTGGGGAGGCTGAGGCAAGAGAATGGCTTAAGCCCAAGAGTTTGAGGTTGCTATGAGCTGTGATGCCACAGCACTCTACCAAGGGTGACATAGTAAGTCTTTTTCTCATTAAAAAAAAAAGTGCTCCATGAGCCTGGACATTGAGAAGGCCTGCTCACTCTTGGAATAAATGATAAAGAGATTTTTAGAATTTAAAAAGGGCTGCTTAGCAGTTTGAAAAGTCGTCAAGCCCTGGAACATTAAAATCCTTTGCATGAGTTATTTCACTGCAGAAATGTCTTTGGTGACTTTTATAGTCTGTAAATGCTGGTTGTTTCCCCACCCCCACCCCCAGATACTCATAGGCATATCTAGTATTCAGCATTTACTTTGGGGGCATATTTCTTTAATAGAAAAGGGTTTGATTGAGCCAGGAGAGTAAGGCATCTGTCTGTCTGACTGTCCCTTGGTCTTATGCAGAGGAACAGTCCAGCAGCTCAGATGACAGCAGACCACCTCCACACGTGTCTGCACATGGGTGTTTTGCCTGGGGATTTTGGGGGCCTCAGAGCCACCTCCTCCTGAATGGGGAGAAGGGTAAGGAGGGTCCTCCCACCTGTCTGCCCCTCTCTTTCCACGCATCAGCAGAGTGAGTTGTGCCCAATCTATAAGAGGCTCTCATCATTTTTTAATCAAGAAAGACTGGTTTCAGAAGAGCTGTGACCCAGAGTTTCGGATAATGAAGGATATTGTTCCAGTGTGAAGAGATTTTTAAAAATCTGGATTTACACAATATATAAATTAGGGGATGATCTGCTTCACTGAAGGAGTCTGTTTCACTAAATTGTGTTTCTCTTGGTTCTTTGAGTAGCAGTTTCCTAGATCTGTGGAAACAGATCAACCCTAGCTGTGTATTACAATGGTCTGGGGAGCTTTAAAAAAACATTCTGACTCCCCAAGACCCACTCTCAGGGATACGGATTCAATCAGCCCAGGGAATTAACTGTACAGCACAGTTCAATCAGTTTGACATAGAAGACCTGTTCTGTAAAGTTGGGCACATCGAACAGTATAAATGTCCCTAGAAATTACTCCTTTCCACAGAATTATTTAGCTGGTGGAAATTTTAAAGGTCTTGTTTCTTTACCCAGCATACACGCATTAAATATGTATCAACTATGAACAGGCACTGTGCCAGGCATGTGTCCCTGCTGTCCGGGACTTCCCAGTGTAGAGCCAGGAGACAAGCAAACAGGACGCCTCTGAGGAGCACAGCAGCCTTATGGAGAGAGTTCCCGAGAAAATGCCAAACTCTGCTTAAAAAAAGAAAAAGTCCTCTCGGGAGGTCAGACAGGACGTCCCAGAGTCCTGCTTTCACCCAGTCAGAGGGAGGAATGAGCAGAGAGACCAACTAGGGAAGATGAAATGGTGTCCCTGGCACGAGTCTGTCGAGGAGGAGGCAGAGGGGCAGGGTGTGAAGTGGCATCCCCAGGTCCCGTGGCGAGGCCAGGGAGTGTCCAGTCTCCTGGCCAGGGCTCTCTCCGTGCGTCAGTCCTGTCTCATAGACCCTTGAGGGGGATGATTTTTAACCTCTGTGCTACAGCACACTGGTGTGGCATGGGAGGATCTTAGGTGTGCCATGAACATTTTTAAAGATCATTAATTAAATTATTTTCAAAAGAAGTTCAAAACAGGGGCAGTGCCTGTGGCTCAAAGGAATAGGGCACCGGCCCCATATGCCGGAGGTGGCGGGTTCAAACCCAGCCCTGGCCAAAAACTGCAAAAAAAAAAAAAAAAGAAGTTCAAAGCACAGTAAGCAATTTTTTTTATTCATTTCTTAAATCAACATAATTTAAGTGTGCCACAGAAGTTTGACTATAGGTTCAAGTGTGCCATGAAATAAAAAGGTCAAAACACACTGCTCTAGGGGTCGTTGAAGTTCATGTTGCTTTGATCCTTCTGGGTGGGTGTAAAGGGACCCTTTTACTGGCTGCTGTGATCTTGTTCTGGGAACAGCCACAGGTCCTGGCACTGGGAAGGGTCTGAATGTGGTGGCTTCCAATTGCCTGCTGTAAACCCTGTCCTTTCAGGCAAAAGCATCAAATCCCGCTGCCAAGTGCCTGATTCTCTAAGAACCACGTGTGGACATCCCACCCCCAGCACCACCAGGCACAAGGATTACTGAGTTAACCACTGGGATGGCATTTGGCACATTTGATCCCGGCCCTGTCTTCGTGCTGATAATAGGCAAACCATTTGGAAACACTGGAAATGTGGGAGGGTTAAGGGATTTTGCGCTGTGCCCGGGCTGTCTTAGAGGGAATAGTGAGTGTCAAGGCCAGCTGGAGGGAGAGAGAACAGTGTTCCTGAAAAGTCCCTGACTAGAAACTTGACAAAAGTCTCCTAACTTGAAAGGGACTCTATACTAATTAAGTTAAACGTACATCTACTGTAGGACCCAGCAAACCCACTTTTAGATATATAACCAAGATGAGTCCTTAAATTCACAAAAAATGCATAGAAGGATGTCCATAGCAGTTACATTCATAAAGCTCAAAAAGGGGAAAGATCTCAATTTTCATCAACAGGAGTGTGGATAAACAATTTTAGTTTATTCATGTAATGAATGCCATTATCAATAAAAAGGAACAATCTACTGCTATATACAGCACCATGGATGAATCTCAAAAAGGCACGCAAAAGAATACCCGATGTCACTTGTATGTAGGTTACTGTGGAAGTTTTGAGGCAGACTATGCTGTGGTCCGTTATTTCCGAGAAACACAGTCAACAGCGTCCTTTCCGATTTACCCGTACAAGTTTCAACTTGCTCAGCTTATCCGTGTTGCTGGGAGGGCTTCATTTGCTTCTGTCCACGTGGATTTTACATTTCTTGATTTTTATATGTCTCAAAACTTTGGTAATGACCCCGGTATAAAATTTAAGAATAAGCAAACCTAATTTGTCATGATAGACTTCAGACCAGTGCTTCTATCTTGGGAAAGACTAGAAAAGAGAAAGGAGGAACTCTAGGAGGGGGGGCCACAGAGCCACCTGTGGGGATCCCTCCCAGCATCATCGTGATTGGGGTTATGGTTCTCTGGATATATTTGTATATTTTAAAGTTGAGCTGTACTTCTAAAATCTGTGCTTTTTACTGTATAGAACATACCTTGGCAAAATACTGTTGTTATAAATAAAAGGGAAGAAAGAAACACTTCGATAATAGGGATGAAAGGAGACCCCCTAAATCCACAATGTGGACTTGAGATGATAAAAAAGAAAACCTCTGCTGCCTTTCCCATGAGCAGCATGGAATGTGAACCTAGGTTGAGGAAAACAAAGGGGACCACAGTGGACAAGCCACTCCCTATCGAGGACAGTTAGCAGGTCATAGTGGATTAGATGGAAGGGAACCCAATAAACACTTGTTGAACTAAGTTGTTACTTCAACATCTTTTGCCTGTGGGCCAATCCCACACCCCAAGAAGGGAAGCATCGTGGTGGGGAAGCGTCCTTTCCAGGGCTCCTGGGAGAGCCGCATCTCCTGACCTCCTGACTTTCCTCTTTGGCTTCTTATCTCTCCCTCTCCAGGAGCTTCAGAAATACGAGCAGTTCATCTTTGCAGACCATACCAACATGATCCACGTTGAAAATGTCTATGAGGAGATTTTACATCAGATCCTCCTTGGTGAAACCCTGAAAGGTAAGGAAGGCTACCTGCTGCTGGAAGGAGCTCCCCACAGAGGGGAGCACCCCCAAAATGGGACTCAGTAAGGTGAGAAAGGGGGAGAGGAGATGGACATCGGTGTGGTGGGGAGACAACCAGGAGAGGGAGGGGAAAAGGAAGGACACTCCCGTGACTTCACGGACCTGATTTGGCCTATGCTGTGCTGGCCCTTTAGATACTTATTTTCTCTCTCCTTTTTTTTTTTTTTTTTTTTGAGCCAGAGCCTCACTATGTCACCCTCCATAGAGTGCTCTGGCATCACAGCTCACAGCAACCTCCAGCTCTTGGGCTTAAGCAGTTCTCTTGCCTCAGCCTCCCAAGTAGCTGGGACTACAGGCGCCTGCCACAATGCCCGGCTATTTTTTTGTCGTAGTTGTCATTGTTGTTTAGGGGCCACAGCTGGGTTTGAACCCACCAGCCTCAGTGTATGTGGCTGGCGCCATATCCACTGTGCTACAGGTGCCAAGCCCTTATTTTCTCTTTTGATATAAGTATGAACTCTGTGATTTGGGAATTTTAAGCTTCATTTTATAGATGAGAGTATTGCAGCTTAGTGAGATTAAACGATGCGTCTGTCACGAGGAGCTATCTTCCTTTTGCTCTTCTCGAGAGAACAAAAATGAAAATGAGCCCTTCTTGGGCAGAGGCTCCTTACCCCTCCCAAAGCTGGGAGGAGGTGACTCCAACAGCAAGGCTTTCCCTCTGCTCTCTCAGCACATTCCTCTCCCCTACTCAGCCAGACAGAGGCACACGGGTGGTGACACAGTGGCCTGCAAGCCTTGTTGGGACTCTAGCACCCAGTGTCCTGTGAAACCAGGCCTTTCCTAGGATTGGCGTGTGGGTAGGAAAACTTACATAAAAATATGCTGGAGAAGGCCATCATCAAACCGTGGGCCTAAATCACATCTGGTCTCCTTAGGGAGATACTCTTGTCTTGAGTATCACAAAAACCCCTCTACACAGAAAAATGACCAAGCACAAGCCCCAGGCCACAGCGGCTCATCACCAGGGAACCAATGAGATAAGGAATGTGAAGGGGTCAGCAGTGTCTCCACAGAGGAAGGGCTGGGTAAAGGCCACTGGTGGCCCTCCGTGGCCGCCTTTGGGTGGTTTAGAAGAAGAATCCTTTCCTCTAGACACTGACTGCTCTGTGTGAGAAAATTGTCACGACGCACTGATTTTGTTCAAGAAGAAAACTAAACTGCTAGCTGCTGAAAACACAAATCCCTGCTGTCTTTGGTATGAACGGCACCCCATTGGGTGATGTTGGGTACTACAACTCCTGCACAGCCCTAAGCAGATGACTATGGTCAAAAATGTCATTATTATTTTTTTGAGACAGAGTCTCACTCTGTCACTCTGGGTAGAGTGCCATGGTATCATCATAGCTCACAGCAACTTCAAACTCCTGGGTTCCAGCCATCCTTTTGCCTCAGACTCCTGAGTAACTGGGACTTTAGGCACCTGCCACAACACCTAGCTAGGTGTTTTCTTTTTTTAGTAGAGATGGGGTCTAGCTCTAACTCAGGCTGATCTCAAACTCCTGAGCTCTGGCAATCCACCCACGTCAGCTTCCCAAAGTGCTAGCATGATAGGTATGAGCCACTGCACATGGCCTATTGTATTCTTGTTCCTCTCAAGACCTTTGAGACTGAGCTGGGCCCATAGATTTCAATTAGGACATTCCAGCTCACTGAGGCTCTCTCATAGGCACGCTCAGCACTGAGAATCGTCACACATTCGGGACTGTGCTTTGGGAAAAAGAGAGAAGTGAAAGGTCTGCCCCTGCCCATGGGGAGTTTTGGTCCAGGTGGCAGCTAATAAAATGTGATAGGGGCCTCCTGAAGTGATATAGATGATACTATTCAAACCAAGAGTGCCTGGAAAGCAAAGGCTGTGTTTTACTCATCTCTGGATCTCCAGCGCCTGTCCCATATTAGATGTGCAGCAAATATTTGCTATTTGAGTAAATGAATGAATGAACACTGCAGAGGCTCCAAGTTTGGAAAGAGTTTGCAGTCTTGGTCATCAGAGACCAAAGAGGGTAGTGTTAGATACTGAAAACTTTGAATGGCCAGAGAGGCGAAGGGGTGGTTTCTCAATAAAATTAGAAAATCCAGGTTGGCCATGGCAGGATGTTAATGTCGTGTTTTGTTTTCTGATCTCTCTCAGTGATAAAGGAAGCTGCTAGCCTGAAGAAACACAACTTATTTGAAGACAACATGGCCTTGCCCAGTGAAAGTGTGTCCAGCTTAACAGATCTAAAAATTCCCACAGGGTCCAACCAGGCCAGCCCTGCCAAGAGAGCCTCTGGCCTTCTGCCAGGAGTCCTGGGTAGTGAGACTCTGAATAATGAAGTGTTCCAGGAGTCAGAGGAAAAGCAGCAGCCTGTGGTCCCTAGTCCACTGGCCAGACGAGAAAGCCTTTCTCTGCCTGATCCCAGCCCTCCCCCCGGTGGAGATGAGCAGGTGATCATTTCAAGAATGGAGGACCCCACTGTAAGTCCTGTGGCTGCAGAGGACACGGCAGGACTCATGGGTACACCTGCGGCAGAGCTGGAGTTTGGAGGGACCCCCAGGGATGAAGACCCCACCCATGAAGAGCCAAAATCTGTCTCTGCCTCAGGCTCCTTGGATGAGCTAAGAAAGTTGTTGACAGAGACCGTTGAGGTCCCTGTCGAATCTGCTCTAGCAACTGAAAAAGATACAAAGGAAGGGACCCTTTCTCCTCAAGAAAATGAAAAAGAAGAAGAAAAAGCACACATCTGCACAGAGGCCCAGCAGGCAGCTGCCTCCCCTCTGGACAACTGTGAAGAAAGTGAAGCCAGTGAGGGGAAGGCCCATCCTCCTCCTCTGGAGGCTGAGGCAGGGGGTGAGGAGGTGGGGGAATTACCAGAGGTGAGTGGCCCTGCCTCTGAGCCATCCTATGGAGGGCTCCCCAAGGCTCACTGCCCAGGCCCTACAGAGCAGCCAGAGGAGCCCGGGGAGCCAGTGGAGGCCAGGGAGCCAGTGGAGGCTATTGAGGCAGAGGAGGCCAGGGAGCCAGTGGAGGCCAGGGAGCCAGAGGGGGCCGGGGAGCCAGAGGGGGCCGGGGAGGCAGAGGAGGCTGTGGAGGCAGAGGAGGCCAGGGAGCCAGTGGAGGCCAGGGAGCCAGAGGGGGCCGGGGAGCCAGAGGGGGTTGGGGAGCCAGTGAAGGCCGGGGAGCCAGAGGTGGCCGGGGAGCCAGTGGAGGCCGGGGAGCCAGAGGGGGCCGGGGAGTCAGTGGAGGCTGTGGAGCCAGAGGAGGCTGGGGAGCCAGTGGAGGCCAGGGAGCTAGTGGAGGCTGGGGAGCCCACAGAGAAGGCTTCCACACTGGTCACCCAGGAGGGAAGAGAGGCCGAGTGCACAGTGCAGGGTGAGTTGATGCTGCAAGAAGATTGCATTGTAGGTTCTGACCCCGCCTGCCCCAGTGAGAGCCGAGTTTCTGAGGAACAAGAACCGGTGGGAGAGAAGAACAGCCCAGGCAAGGTCGGGGCCAGCACGAATAAACAGGAGATGAAGGCTGCCCGTGTTCATGAGTGCCAGTGGGTGGTGGAGAACGTTCCCAACACTGAGGTCCTAGCTTCCCATACAGATGATGTAAAGAAGAGAGAATCTTGTCAGGACAGTTCCCCAGATCAGCCCTTGGAAGAGTGAAAGGGACACTTTGGCAAAAGTCTTTGACAAAGTTAATCAAAGGGTTATAGTTATGGGTACACTTAGGGGCTGCACGGGAGATGTTACAAAAAAAAAAAAAGATTTGTTAATTATTTTCATAATTTGAATACTAAAACCAGAGGAAATGAATGCAGGCAGGCCCCTTTGTGGTTCTGAGCTGTTCTACCACCAGTGATTGCTTTAGTGTTTTAATAGGCATTACAAAGGCAATGAGGAGCTTGGGCGGGGAGCTGAGTGTGCTGAGGGAGGGAGTGAAGGTGCAGGGAAGGCCTGGGGACACAGAGCACAGTTCTCAGTATGCTCTGCACATTCGGATGGTGTAACACACACTTTAAGGCTTTTTAATTTCGTATATGAATCTAATGTATACTGTAACTCTAGCTTCATCATCTACAATACCAAAGCCACCATCTCTTAGGGACTCAGCATCTGTCCACAGTCTGGCTGCAAGAAAAGAGCAGTTCATGGGCAGTCGCCCCTACTGTGTGCCACCCCGCCACCTGTCACACCCAAACCACAGGAGAAGCCTGACAGAAGTGAACTGAGTGAGGAAGGTGTGGCCTGCAGGCGTGTCTGGCTTGTTACTAATTCTGTCACTTTCTTTTTAATTAATCCTGTTGATTCTTATTCATTAATATCCTTTTAAAGAAATTCAGATGAGGCAGGAAAATTTGATTGGCCTTTAATTGTGCAGAGGGCTTAGCTGTAAGTTATCAAGCGTAAAGCCTACCAAATTAAACAAACATTATTTGAACAGCAACTGCTTGCCAGGTACTGTATTTGGGGTAGTTAAAAAAAAAAAAAAACAGGTGCTGATTCTAGCGATTCTAGTATGTATTAAAAGGTCCCAGGGAATTTGATCTAGAAGAGAAAACAAGCTAATTTTCAAACTATGATGGTGTTTTTCTCTTTCCGTTCAAATAGTCCTGGTTCATTCCTAGAAGGCAACAAAATGAATCAACGAATACATAAATAAATAGGTGGAGACAAAAACTAAGGTATATACCATCAAGTTTCAAAGATGTTACCCAAAATAGAAATCATTCTTTGGTCTCTCAAGTTACCTGAGTCCCTGTTCCAAGCTCTGGGGATACCATGGTTACCATGGTGAAGAAGATGCTGTTTCTTCCTCCTGGAACTTCCATGTTCATGGAAGTAGACACAAATACATGTTCGAAATTGATCATGACCTTTAACTATTAATGATAAAGATGAAATGGACTTACTTGCAAAAGATTAAAAAAGATTTAAGAAAGTTGTTCTATTTATTGTCCATCAGAAAAATACCAGACTGTGTCCCAAAAGCTTCCGTCCCAGGTACTACATCTTAAAGTTTCTTCCCACAAATTTTCATATTCCATCCCAACATATTTGTCCTGAGAGTTTGTTTGATCATCAGAGTCAAATAAGTTTATGTCTTTTTAAATTTTTTGGAGAATTTGGCCCACAGTTCAACCATTTAACCAGGAATTAAAATATTGTCCTCCCCACCCCTCCCATGAAGAATTTCTTGGATTTCTAGGTGATAAGTAATGAATTATAATCACAGTGTCTTTATGCTCTCATATCACATGGTGGCCTCTTTTTTGGGAGGGTTTAGATCATAGAGAGGGATCCCGTCCTAGGTGAAGAAGGCCCCTGCTTCCCTCAGTGTTCACTCAGATCCTGGCATGCAGCCCAGTACATTGAAATTATATTTACTTCCTGTCTCTCCCAGAGCTCCTCTCTTCAAGGACAGAAACTAGGGTTTAGTCATCATATGTGCTTCCTGCTAGAAACCCACAGCTTTGAATAAGGCTTCCTACCTCCTCAGTTGCTTTACTATCCCTGGTGTCTAGCACAGGGCCTGGCATGTTTCGGGCTGCTCAGGAAGCATGGAAACTTGACACCTAGCGCACTGCTGTGCAGGGACTACTGGGGACTTGCTGTCAGGCAGAGAGATGTTTTGAATCCAACTTTCTGCTCTTGTCGAGTCTTAAGTCCAAAGGGCAGATGGCCAGATGCGCTGCCCAGGAAGGCAGGGAGCCAAAGGAGCAGGGCTTGTCCCCATAGAGACTGTCCTTCTTTCTGGGAGATTCGTGGCTAGGGTGGGTATGCCAGCCCAGGCTGAGCGAAGGCTGGAGTTTCCTCCCTGTGCTCACCTTAGGGGTTCTTGCGCTTCCTGAAAAGCTAAGAGATTTTTTCAACCCTAAAAGAAAATACATTTCACTGCATTGGATTGGATGAACATCAGGGCCCTTCCTTTATCCATCCTGAAGGCCAGAGAGTACGGGGTACTAAGTGGCAGGACACAGTCGACAGCACAGTCAAAGAGTTTTTCTGGACATATTTCACAAAAGTTCTCTAGCATAAGCAAGACGATTGTTTCATTTGAAGATGGAACAGGAAACTGAAGTGCATTTAAACTAGTCCATTTCATTTTAACATGTTCAGTGGAATAACATCTTATTCCGAGGTTTTATCTTGCTTTTTGTAGGGACTTGTCTGTGTCGTTTCCAGATGGAGCAAGATTATCCTGATGTAAATGAGCAACGTGAAAAGCCTCTGTGTGCTCCCCTGGGGCTCTCCTCTGGGCAGAGACGTTAGAAATGCATAAAATCTTAAGAGAGGGTTTTTGGCAAAAGAAAAAAAAATGAGCTCATTTTTCTTTTGTAGCTTGTAACAGAGACTATAGTACCCAGCATTATACAGAGTAAATTTTTCTTTTTTTTTTGCAGTTTTTGGCCAGGCTGGGTTTTGAACCCGCCACCTCTGGCATATGGGACCAGTGCCCTATTCCTTTGAGCCACAGGTGCCGCCCCAGAGTAAATTTTTTTTTAAAGGCTTTTGGAGGCTACAAAAATAAGATTCCAATTTTTCCGAAAACTTTCTCACTTTATGCAATTTATTATAAAGATCCTCAAGTCCAGTGTTATAATCCTTCATATCAGAGCTGGTGATTTCAATGGGTTTCACAATTGTCTCAGACAAAAGTGATTTTAATTCATTTTAACAAGTGATAGGTGATATGTGCTACATAGAAATTTTAATATGGGGAAGGGAAGGACATCAGTGACTTAAAAGTTGGCAACGCATCCCTTCTTATTTTACTGTAAACCGACAGGTTTTAGGGTCTGCCTTCCAAAGTCTGCAACTTTAAGAAAAGAAATCTACACTGTGGAATCGATTTTTCTGGTCACTATATAAAGCAAATAAATTTGAAACACTTTGTAACCACGTATTTACTTTGCCAACTGCCTATATTCCAATAAAGGATTTGTCCTTGAAGAGCTGTCCAGACATCATTTATTTGGAATAGGGCTGGTTTCATCTTTTAAGCAAATGTCATACTTGAGCTAGAAGGAACAGCCTTCAGAAATGAAAAGGTGAGTCACTCTTGCTGGTATATGGAATTTTTTATGTGTGTGCAGTTTTTGGCAGGGCTGGATTTGAACCCACCACCTCCGGCATATGGGGCCAGCACCTTAGTCCTTTGAGCCACAGGTGCTGCCCTGGAATTTTTACTTTGCTGTTGTCGGGAAGGAATCTCCAGGGAAGCCACTTAATGTCAGGTGTAATGATGCTTTGCTAAGGCATATGCTTATTTCTCGAGAAACTGGATCACGTCCATAACACAGCAATGGGCAATTACTCTTGACATAATTGAACTGCTGTTCAAGCTTAAATTTATTTTCAGTGAGTAGTATCAAGCAAAACATTCATTCTTTCTGTAATTATGAACAAAACAACACTCACTCACCATATCCATAGTTGTTCATTTACCCATGAACTTATTCGTTCAAGAAATATTGAGTGTGTATTCATTATATACAGAGAAACAGAAGAGAACACAGCAGGTGTGATCCCTGACATCAGCAGACTCAAATTATCAGGGTGGACATGGCCAGCAAGAGCCCAAACTTGTCTGTAATCTTGGCTTTACCTCTACACCAGTAGCTTCAGCAAGGGAGGAAGAAATATTGAAGAAGTCAAGTGCAGCGGTGACGGGGACACTCAATGTGGCACAAGCTTTCCTTCCCCCTGTCCTCTGTCTACACCAAACTTCGAGCATGCAATAGTCAATCCCAAAGTAGCCCCTCTGGAAACGTACATTTAGGGCCAATAATCAGATTGAAATTGGGGGTGATAGAATAGCTTTGACACTGTCAAGTTTTTTCTTAGAGCATATATGTATTTATTGGATGTGGCTTGGACAGGACTGATGGAGGCCTTGGGAGTGGTCAACTAAACCTATTCTCTTCTCAGCCATCCTGGGAGTTGCTTATACTTGAACACCTCTGAATCTTTGCCATATTCATTCCTTTGCCAAAAACATCTGTCTTTCCCTTCTCTATCTGACCCATTCTCACTTATCCTATAAGAGTTGGGGCAGTCCTTTTTTGTTTGTTTGAGACAGAGTCTCAAGCTATCACCCTTGGTAGAGTGCCCTGACATCATAGCTCACAGCAACCTCAAACCCTCGGGCTGAAGCAATTCTCTTGCCTCAGCCTCCCAAGTAGCTGGGACTACATGTGCCCACCACAACGCCCTGCTGTTTTTTGGTTGTAGTTGTCATTGTTGTTTGGCATTCCTCGACTAGCTTGAACCTGCCAGCTCCAGTGCATGTGGCTGGTGCCCTAGCCACTGGGCTACAGGCGCCAAGCCATGGGACAAGTCTTGATAAATCCTTACCCTGCCCCCACAGCCAATAATGCCATTTTGAACTCTTGCCCTAATTTACTCGCCCACTTCTGTCGTCTCTTACTCCACCACAGCCATCTACCTCCCTGTGCCTTTGGGACAAGTACGCTTCCTTCAATCTTTGAGCAGAGCATAAGTCCCTGCATATAGCAATACATGTTGAATGAATAAATAGATATCGCCCATCCCAGAAGTAGGAGACAAGTGGAAGTGGAGATATAGCTAATGATCCCAGAAGTCCGTGCAGCTGGTGACTTTACTTACCCTCAGCCTACTGAGATAGTTCTGCTTCAGTGATGAAACTTGACTGTGAGTTTCAGAGTCAAGTTACACCCAAATCAAGCTAGCTATCATGAACCACCTCCTACTTTGCAGAGCAGTAGTCTTCACTGGATTTTCCTAAGGTCCCTGTGATGTAAACAATGCAGAAAGATTAAGAAATTCATCCTTGGGGGGCGGTGCCCGCAGCTCAGTGTGTAGGACGCCACCCGAAGGCTGGCGTGTTCAAACCCTGTCCAGGCCAGCTAAAACAACGACAACTGGGGCGGCTCCTGTGGCTCAGTGGGTAGGGCACCGGCCTCACATACCAAGGGTTCAAACCCGGCCCCAGCCAGCTAAAACAGCAATGACAACTGCAACAACAACAACAAAAAGCCAGGCGTTGTGGCAGGTGCCTATAGTCCCAGCTACTCAGGAGGCTGAGACAAGAGAATTGCTAAACCAGCGGTTCTCAACCTGTGGGTCACGACCCACAGGAACTATATTAAAGGGCTGCAGCATTAGGAAGGTTGAGAACCACTGGCTTAAGCCTAAGAGTTGGAGATTGCTGTGAGCTGTGACACCACAGCACTCTACCAAGAGTGACAAAGTGAGATTCTGTCTCAATAAATAAATAAATAAATACAAAATAAAACAACGACGACAACAAAATAGCCAGGCATTGTGCCGAGCACCTGTAGTCCCAGCTTCTGGGGAGGCCGAGGCAAGAGAATTGCTTGAGTCCAAGAGTTTGAGGTTTCTGTGTGCTGTGATGCCATAGTACTCTACCCAGTGCAACATACTGAGACTGTCTCAAAAAATAAATAAATTTTAAAAACTAAAAATAACAAAAGAAATTCATCCTTGAATTGCCCCCCAGTCTGCTAAACATAAGCAAACGCCCAAGAGTTCGTGGACAGCATCTGCCTCTGGCAGGGAGCATGAAAAAAGACATCGTTCCTGCTTTTCAGGGGGCTCATCCAGTTGGGAAGGCTGAGAAGCAAATGGTTCTGCAGGAAGAGGAGGAAGGGTTCTGCTACACAAACAAAAGCAACTAAGACTCTATTCAAAAAAGTTTGGCTATCGAACCTATTAATCCTGCCCTTTATTTCTTGCCTGTGTTATTTCCTCTCAGTCATGAACTTAAGTCTAAAATCCAGCTGTCTACCTTGAAGAAAGCTTACCAAGATCTTTTTACACCAGCTCCTACACACTCTTTCCAGAAATCTGAGTCCTCTAGGCAAGCCGTTTTAGACCTGTGGGCTCAGTTGTTTCTCTGCTTTGGTCTCTACAAGCAGTGCACATACGGCACAGTGAGAGCTCTCTCTGTGTTAGCAATTCCAAGGGGGCAGGACAGGACACAGAATGGGAAAGTGAGTATATGCGCTGAGGAATTCCAAGACACTAAGGTGATTTTGAACTTAAGAGGTGGCTTCTCCAGGTAAGATTTCAACTGCTATCCTCCAGTCCCTCACTGTTCTGTGCTGTTGTCTAAACCATGTGGGGACAAGTTTTCCTGTACGTTGGTTTGAGAAAGATCACGTGGGAGAAAAGGAAGGTGTTTTTATTTCTGTGCATTGGAGGATTCAAGTTTTGAACACTTAAATTTTCAATTTAGGCATTAGAATAGATAACAATTTCCACGTACCTTTATCCAGTCAGGATTAATTCTTTCAAAAAATATTTTCTGGGCTAGACATGGTAACTCACCCTTGTAATTCCAGCATTTGGGGAGGTCTAGGTGGGAGGACTGTTTGAAGACAAGAGTTTGAGATCAGCCTGGGCCATACAGAGAGACCTTCTCTCTACAAATAAGAAGAAAAAAATTGATATCTACTAATGTCTTGCAGACTCTGCTAGGCCCTGGAATAGAATAGTGAACAAAACAATCAGCCTTTGCCCTCACTGCATTCAGACCTGTGGGTTATCTTTTCTGCACTGAAAATTTCAGTTATTCCTCTTCAGGGAGAGATGCTTCATATAAATAAGCCTCTGTGCTTTTCAAATTGCATTTTGAAATTCTTCACCAAGTTCCCTTATTTGGTTTACTTTCTTCAAGGTCCTTTACGAGAAAGTTGTATGACTGCCAAATCACTTTGTTACCTCTTGGGCTAATCGCTTAACCTTTGTAAGAGTTTGTTTGTAAAATGGGAAGAATGATACCTCATAACAAGATTATTGTGACTATTAAAAGAGGTATATATAACAGACAGCAAAGCACACAGGAACAAAACCAGGCTCAGAAAAGTTAAGCAACTTTCTGAAGGTAACATAGCTAGTAATGGTGGAACCAAGTGAAACATTTTCACAATGGCTACAAAAGAAAATCACTCCAAAACTTAGTACCTTAAAACAGTAAGCTCAGACTACAGGTAATACATCAGACAGTTCTGATCATGGCTGGCTCTTTCAGTACGTTTGGGAGTCAGCTGGCTGTTTGTTGGTCTGAATTAACCACACTGGGACAACTGGGCCTACTTATTCCTTAGGGCCTCTGAGATTTCAGCAGCCTAGTCCAGGCTTATTCTTATGATAGAAGAAAAGTCCTCGGGGCAGGAGAGTGGGGAGATTTAAAGAGGGAGAAGTAAAAGGTTTTTTGAGACCTGGGCTCAGGACTATTGCACTGTCACTTCCTCTATATTCTATTGGCTAAAGCAAGTCACAGAGCCTCTGAGTTTCAGCAGATAGGAAAAGCTGCAACGTCATTCTGCATTGGGCATGAGTCCAGGGCAGCCATTACCTGAGGCCACCAATGCAATCTTCTATCTCACCAGGATGTGAATGACTTCTGTTCAACTCTAAGACCCATAACCTTGTTTCCATACTACATATAACTAACTATACTAACTATAAA